TCTGGAACCCCTAATTTAGAGCAATAGTGTTACATGTTTTCACTGTAAAGCTTCCTGCTCCCATCGCCTTTGACCGGTTCTGCCGTCCGCTTTGCAGAACCGGATGGTTCCAGCGCCCTCCAGTTGGTTTTTAAGCACAGCTGTTCCGCTTTGAAACCTCAGACCCGTACTGCCGAAGAGCCGCCCTGCGACTCAGGTGTCCAGCTTCCTTATTTTCAAAGCGCTGCCTCCAGAGCAGAGCATCTCATTAGCTTTGGTAATCCCAAACTTCACGTCTCAGATGGGAGAGAAGGGCAGGGCATCTATTTGCACATTAATGGACCAGGGGGAGAAGAGGCAAACTCCCAGAGTACCTCCCCCCTCCCCTTGGACCACACCGACCCATTTAGCCAAACAGGAAACCCTCTTTCTGATTCATCCTGCCGAATTAAACCTGATTCCTAAAGCCTGGTGATTCCTGGTATCTCTCTCTGAATAATGTCTTTTCCATGTCACACAATTGAACAGTAATTATGAAAGCCTGGAAGAATCTTTTACAAGGGAATTGTTCAGCCAGTGGTTTGAGGCAGATGATGGTCCGGACCTTCGCTCTGGATATTGTGATGAGGGAGAGTGCCGGATGCCTCCCTTTCATTGGTGGAGGGGTTGCTAGTTGATTGGCCTCCCCTGTTGGGTGTTTTCTTCTTTTTATTTAATCTATAGTTTAAGAATTAAAGGGTTTTGTCTTTTTTTTTTTCAATAAAAACAAATGTGCAAACATGTTGACTGAGATGCATCAGCTGAAAACCTGTGTCCTTGGATGTGTCTGGAGTTTTTAGGAGATTAAGGGGTGGAATAGATGACCGTCTAATGGTGTTTAGCTGTTGCAGTGTACACAAGACGCCACAAAGAGGAGGATTAAGAAGGTTCTCTGATGATGTCTTGTACAATGAGGGTTGATGGGTGTGAAAGGCCCATTCCGCTGTAGTAACAAGGCTAATGAATTCAGACTCTAATCGATTGTCTCAGCTCTCTGGATTAGATGCAACCTTGCTGGAAGGGAAGACACGATTGATGTGAGTGTGTGTTAGTGGCAGAGCAGAGGGGGCTGCTGGTAGCTCCTCAAACCTTCCCTTCTCTTCCTGCACACTTTAACCCCTGCGTTTTCACAGCAGCATCCAGGAGAAGGAGAGAGACAGAGGGATCATCTTCAGTCTAAATGAGATTACAGCTCCTTATCGCGGGGGGCTGTGGTAGCCAGCGCCAGGAATGAGCCAAACTATAGCCTGTGTACAGGGGATCAGCATTAGATATGATACACCCCCACTGCAGTGCACCGCCATGCTCGGTAATCCCCCCCGAGACAGAGGAGAGAGAACACAGTGAGGAGCAGAAGAAAAGACAGGATTTGGGGGGTGTTTGTGTAACAGCTTGAATTGTTTCTCTTCTGGACTCCTGTGAATTTGTGTCTGCATCCTGCCAGACGGGTCCATCAGCGCAGCGTCCAGTCGCCGCCCACCCTGGCCTGGGCCCCCGCTCCCGCCTGCGCGATGAAGGAGCGCCACCTAGCGGTGGCTTCTGCGCTCTGGATGCACTTCTTCCCCTTCCTGCGCAGCTTACGCCTCTCCCAGACGCCTCCAGCACAGCTGGCAGACGCTGCTGCAGGTGCGTGACGCCCACTGAGAGGAAAAAACAAGATGGCATTAATGAAAAGAAAGTTGTGTTAAGCATAAGAGTCAGAATAAGTTTGACACTGAGCTCGTCTGGTTTTTATTTCCAGGTTTCACCTTGCTCGCCTTTGATCTGCCCAGTTCTGCCCCCCAGGACCTGCAGCCCAGCCCGGTTCAGTCCATCATGCAGTTCTTCGGCTGGGACGACATGGTCCCTCCTCTCGTCGTAACTCGCTACCTTCCACACCTGCTCCAGAACAGGTAGCGTTTTGCCTCATGAAACGCACCCAATCAGAAGGAAAAAACAGGAATTACTGAGACTCTGAGACACTAAACGTGAATAAAAAGAAGAAATGTTTACATTTTAATTTATTTTCATTTAATTTCACCTTTATATTACAAGGAAAAAATACCATTGAGATTAAAAACCTCTTTTTCAAGGGAGTCCTGGCCAAGAGGCAGCAAAGTTATATAATAAACAGAGATATATTAAATGACAGTTACATAAAAAAACATATCAAGTAAAACAATTATAGGTCATTGAAGCTGCTTCAAATTCTTTCCCTTTCAACTTAAAAGCATTTAAAGATAAAAACTCAGTCAACTTCCAGTTTCTTTGTAAACAATTCCACGCACAAGGAGCTGCGTAGCTAAAGGCTTTCTTCCCTAGTCTAGTTCTGTGCGGACCAGTGAGCAACAGCTGATCGTTGGATCTCAGGGCAGAAGAAGCCCTGTCATATTAAACACAAAGTGCAAACTTGTAAATCAGACAGTTTAAACTTGAGATGTGAACAAAACTGTCTCAAAAGTGCAAACCTGTTTATGAAAAGTGAAAAACTGAGGCCTTACATGAGTGAGCACACGTGACACAGCGGGGACACAGCAGACATGCATGAGCTCCATTATCTTCCTGTCCATATTTGCAGCATTCTCTGTAACAACTACAGTGTGTTTGCTGGTCAGCCCCCATTGTTAATGCCTTCAGTCAACCTATTGGCTTTATTTGTAGCTGTCTGGCTTGAAGTCATCTTGGTGGTCTGTAGCACGAAATGCTAGGCGCCACTCATTAATGTAGTTGGAAGTCACCTTAATGTCACATATCCAGCACATTATCTTTAGCTGTTTTAAATCCAAAATGGTTTCAGACATCAGACTTCAGTATGGACAGCTTGCTGAGCGGTGTGTTACTTTGGTCCCTACACATCGATTTAGCAAAAATGTAAAGGAATCTTTTCAAAATCGATTAAATAGATTTCTTTTACCCAGCCCTAGTACCAATGACACTGCCTTCTCGTCCCATCCCACCTGAGAGTCATAGAGATGTCATGGTCTGCAGTTTGTGATGAACCTTAATAAAGCATGGTAAACAGAGTCCAAAATTTGAAGACATGTAGAAGTAGCATCCTTATAAAAAAGGTCACCATAATCTAAGACCAATAAAAACGTGACAGAGACGAGGCGCTTTTTTACTTCAAAAGAAAAACATGTCTTATTAGGAAAGAAGAAGCCCAGTTTAACTTTTAATTTCTTCACAAGTTTATCAATAAAAGCTTTGAAGGTGAGGGAGTCATTAATTCCAATTCCAAGGTATTTATATTCATGTACCAGATCTGCTCGGCGGCCCCGCCCCTTCTTATGACATCATATATGGCAACTCCACTCGGACAAACTGTATTGCACCCACTTCTTAAGGATCAAATCTCTTTTGGAGTCTCAACATATTATTACCTATATTTGCTATTATTTCACATTTCATTGGTGATCTAAAGTAGCCGAAAGTCAATCATTGTCGATCTTGAAGGAAAGTACTGCCTTCCAAGACTGAACTCTGCAATTTAACAAGGTGACAAAAAAGTCTCAGCTTATTTTTATTCTTTTTATTAAGATCTGAGGGCAGCGGAGTACAAATGGAACATCTTAAAAAATGACTTTCATAAAGATTTTAGTCAAATAAAAGTAATTCAGAAGTATTGTAGCTTATTATGGCTAACTGACTGAGCTAAAAGAGGCTAACTTGTTAGCTACTGAGCACAGCTAGCCACAGCGCTACCCAGCTCTCCCCCTTTATATCATTGTCAGTTACTTTGTTCACCATAAACAGATTTTTTTCAGTTTTTTATTGATCAGGTAAAACTTCATCGGTCATCAGACACGTTAACACTGCATATGTTCCTGACTCTGCACACAGACGCTGCGTGATGTTATTATCGTTGTCTGGGCAACCCCAATGTTTTGCATCATATGGCAACGTTCAGCCAATCATGTAGCGTAACGTCACTGCGATGAAGCAGAACCCGAGCAGATCTGGTACCAACACCACCTCAATGACATTCCCCACCAGAGTGGACACTACTGGTTGGGTTTGAGGCACCTTCTTATGATTTAGAAACATTAACTTTGTTTTGTCAGCATTAAGAAATAATTTAAGATGTATTAATGAAAACTGTAAGCTACTTTTAAGGCTGAGGATTTATTTATAAACATCGGATCCTATTGGGATGTCAACAAAAAATGATTTTCAGATTATTTTTGAGAAAAAGAAGCATATTACCATATAAGGGTGTGAATTACAAACGCTGCTCTTTTCTCTATCTTTAGTGTCAGTCTTGGTCTGTCGCTGTGCAAACAGATTGGGTTTATCTCTGATAAAGGTACCTGAGACGCTGTGTGCCTTACCTTTCAGTGAGCTGGTGTCATCGCTGAGCGGCGGTTCTAGTGGAGCCGCCCCTGGTTCTGCTCAAAGCCTCTCAGTGAGAGCCTGGATCCGATGCGTTCTACAGCAACACCTTTACAAGAACCCGGACGGAACCGAAAGCAAAACGGGTAATTAGGGGTTCGGTTTTATCAAACCAAATGAGACACGCTGAGGAAGAAGATTAGAATCCAGACAGGAGTTTCTGAAATGTTTTAACTAGAGTTCCCACGGGTCTCTGAAATCTTTGAACATTTTTTTTATTTAAAGAAAAAGTTAAATACCCTGGAAAGTTTTCGAAGCCCGGCATAGAAAGACTGGAATGGAATGTTTCTATTTTTAATCTTTGCAGTCTTATATTTTACATGGATGAAAACTGCCTTCAACATGTCCTTGTTTGTTTGCCCGGTGCTGCGTTCTCTTGTGTTTCCTGTTTGTTGACAGCACAGTAGACACAGCAACGCATATCATAACAGCAAACTTTAAACAGGGTTACATTTGTGAATCCTCAGTCACTTGTAGCCAGAGCCTCCTGGTCAGTGGATAAATGCCTGAAAAGTGCAAATTTCAGGATTCGTGGCCTGTTGGAAACAGCAGACGGTCAACAAACACCTGCAAGCAAATATTCAGGATTTTCTGAGTGGTTGTAGAGTAAAACACATTTTTTTATTTTCTCAAGACAGACAGGAAATGGGATTAGAAAGAGGTGTAAAGCGTGCAGCAAAGGTCACCAGGCCATGACTCCAACCTGTGATGGCGGCTTTAAGCACTATAGCCTCTGTACGAGAGTTGCTCACTAAGTTTCTTCTACCTTCTCATTTTCCCTTAAAATGAAAATTAGGTTTTCAAATTGACATAAAGGTTTAACAAATCCCAAGCTGGGTTTAATATATTCTCCTATTACTGTAGAATAAGATTCAGGTTCTAAGCGTCTAAGTTTCTATTTATATTTGTAATGCAGCAGATCAGAGACGCCTAAGGTAGAGAGAAAAATGGTGGAATAGCCCTTTAGGGTTTTTCCAAGATGCAACGTAAGCCAACTTCAGCTTCATGCATCTATTATGCTACATTCAGACCGCAAGGAACAAAAGCAGCTAAAACGCACAGCTGAAGCATCTTTGCTGCTGTAGCTGCGCAGTGGAAAAAGTGGGTCTGATGCGCGTTTGGTGGAGCTACGCTATCCTTTCTTTGCCTGTAACAATGGAAGCTATATTTGCTGTGATCAGATAGTAAAAAGTAGTTTGAATGTGTTTCCACCTGAAAACATCGTCAATGAAGTCATTTCATCCAGATTACCATCCTGCCTTCAAATATTATTTTGAAGGCAGCCACTCAGCCCGCCGTACAGCAGCGGTTGTCTCAGTAGGAATCCCGTTCAACAGCAGCCCCTGGCCTGGTCGGGTGTTCGCGGTTTTCCGTGGCGGCTGGAAGGCCTTTTTCATGTACATAATCCAAACTGCAGGCACCAGGAGAATAAACGTGAACATGTTTTGTCGGCAGATTTCGGCATTTTAAGTTAATTTAGGTGTTAATAAACTGTTTCAGAGGAGTGATGATAGCGATCTGCATCATCAGTGCTGTGTCTGTCTCCCTGCCAGCTCCCAGATCAGCTTCTCTGATTGGTTGATGTGGCACATCAGGCAGCAAAATTACATTTTTCCAACTCCAGCAGCTGCTGCATTTGCAGTGCGTCCCTGGTGTCAGAAGCTCACGGCATGCTGCTTCAGCTGCAAGTCCTTTTGCTGCGCCTTGATGCACATTAAAAATTGATTTTGCATGTAAGCTAGCTGCTCCTACTGCCTTTGCTGCTTTAGGTGTGAACGTAGCATTATAGTAGAGGATCAGCCGAAACATGCTATCGAATGCTAACGCCGTCCCACGCGGTGCTAATGCCAGGCCACCGTTTTCTCATGTGTTTAGATGCTTTTTAGCCAAATACTTCATTTAAGTTTTTCAGACAAATTATTCCTGTCCAATACTCACCATTAGTTGTGCACAGTGAGCTTATAAAGCTTATGAGGCAATAATAAGAAATAAACAATTTCTTTTTTCATCATATTTGCCTCAGAGCGTTAAGACCCGAACAAAGCAGCAGTTGTAGCTAAATGCTGTGGCTCATGACCCTTGAGTTTGATGTTAAACCAAGTGTGGGATCCTGTTTTTCTTTCATTTTAATCTCTGCTTCATAAAGTATTTGCATCTCATCCAGGGTATGGAGTAAATTAGATCTGACTTGTGTGTTGTTGTTTTTTCTTTGCTTCAGCGCGGGCCATCGGGGAGCAGCTGGGTGAACTGACCCGGCTCGTCCTGAGACTTCCAGAGGTGGACGGCATTCTGCAGAGAGCTGGGCTTCCATCCACAGCTGCCAGGCTGGAGCCAACATCAGCCCTGGAGATGTTTGTTAAGGTAACACCTTCCCACTGCTGACGGATACATTAGTAATATTTATACATTTCAACTGGTATGAGCCGCCTTTGCATTCTTTGGAGTCTAAAGTTATCTTTTTGTTTCCCTCTAAGTTTCTTAAACACATAAATATTGACATATTATCGGTATAATCAATGTTGGATGCTGGAGCCCGTAATTACAAGCTGAAGCTGATGTGTTTCTCCACGCTGTCAGGCTGTAGGCGGCGTTTACAGCGGGCTGCAGCTGTTGTCAGAGCGGTCAGCCATGGTTAACAGAGCCCTGGACTACATTGGCGACATCCTTAAATACGTCAAACCTTACGTAGTCGGGAAGAATCAGGAGGGAATGCAGCTGGCGTACTGGACCGTGGGTAAGGAGAGTCGGCATCATTTCAACCACAAACATTCTGTTTTTTATTAATATTCTAATAAAAAACAGCTCTGGAGCTGCAGTGATAGTTTTCTGTGCATCTGACTTGATTCTGTTCATCCAGGCTGCATAGTGAAGCACTGGGGCCCCCTGCTGGCCACTTCAAAAGCTCAGCAGCTGCTGTTTCGGATCGTGGACGGGCTCCTCCTTCCTCCCAAACTACCGCAGCAAGACAAACCTCTGAGGGACAGCTTACCCCTCTACCTGCAGGTCAGAACCAGCAGAGACTGGATGCAACCATCCCTCTATCCTCCATTCTGTTATTAAGGAGTTTTTCTCTTCATTTCTTCTCCTTCAGGGTCTGTCGGTGGCCTCCAGCGTGTCTCAGTCGCAGGGCGCCGGGCTCAAACAACAGCTTCGCTCTGTAACCCGCAGATACCTCGATCATTTCCTTCCCGCCTCACCCTCTCTGGGCGTCATCGCCAACCACCCGGTGCTGCTTGGTGCTTGTGAGGCCACACCGACTCCGAGGGGGGCGGCGCTGAGAAGGACGGTGCTGGAGGTGCTTTGGTAGGTCTCTACAGCTGAGGGTTTGAGTCACCAAAGTCGGGTTAAAGTTTGAAAACTGGATGTTTTTTGCTCCTTCTTGCAGTGAGAATTTCCTGCAGTTCAAAGGTCATGCCCCTCCTCCTCGCCTTGCACCTGTCTTGATGTTCCTGTTGGAGCTTTTGAGACGAAATGGCGACACGGACGCTTCCCTGCTCAGCCTGCCTCTTCCCTGCCTGCTGCGCTGTTTGATGCTGGTCAACGAGCCAACGGGTAAGAAGCTGAAATCTTTAAAGGTCTAGTTAATCTGCTGAGTTTTTTTTTTTTTTTTTTTATCTGCTGGACATACAGTAAAGATATCTACTAATTATCAGAACAGCCCAACCATTTCCTCTAAGCCCCACCATCTCAGTGGTAATAATATACATAAAAAACCCAGTTCCTCCCAGCAGCATCCAGTTATCTAAATGCTACTTTAAACATGAAGTACTACCAAAAATGGCTTCCTCTTTGTGAGGCGGTTTTCCATATTCTGAAGATGTAATGACAGCTGCATGGTTTTCCATCTCTGCAACAAAAAAATCCTTTTGTTTTTTGTAAAAGTATCAACACTTGTAAAACGTTCACATTAAATTCCTATAGTTTGTGCTCTGCTGCCTTTCCTGGTACTTCTAAATAAAATCCAGTGCAACAGACCGCCGTCAGCAATTGACCAGTAAATGGAGTCCAGCTGTGTGTGATGTAATCCCACTATTATTTATGGATTAACCAGGGATCCAGTGAAGAAAAAAAGAACCATTCACTGACTGTGAACAGAGCTAGTGGTTTATATGTTATCACCATGTAGAGGTGCATTCAGGAACAAAGTGATGCTAAAGCCGTGCATACACTGTACAATTTTTTTTTGTCCTTTGCGGGCCGATTCTCCTAGCCTGGGTGCCATTCCGAACTTAATCCCGCCCACAAATTTTGAGGTCGGGAAGTTCGGTCTGGCTCTGCTCCATAGTAGCGCGAGTATTATCGCCCACTGTCAGGCGATCCAATCAAATTGTCAGGGCGGGCTTTATACGATGATGGACAGATGACCAACAGTAACGTAATCAACCACGTGACCAAAGCGCGCTTGGGTGACAACAATAATGGCTGCCGCTGGAGAGTTTGGGTGAGTAGATTCTGCTATTAGGTCTGTTCTAGAAGATATCGACAGCAAATTAATTTTAAAAGAGGAACAGAGAAACACGATCAAGTCTCATCTTCTTATTATAGGCGTGCAACTGCACGCTTTGATTTTTGTTGACAACAACTATGCCTCGCTTAACATACGTCACGCACTCCGTTGCTCTTATTGGTTGTAGGTCTATCCAATTGAGTGCAGAGGCATATTTTTAGAGCGAGTGTTTGTTTTCAGCTTGAAGAGAATGTGATCTGTAAAAGAGGACTTAAAAGGAATGCAATTCTTAAAAAAATCAATTTGGAAAAACATAACTGGGAAAAAAATAAATAAAATCTGTAAAAAAAAAAATTATTTTTAATAATCTGAGAAAACAGCAAAGTTAATCTCAGAACCTTTCTTTTCTGGATTGCATTTCCTTTGATCAAATTCTGTTTTTACTTCCAAAAATAATAGAACAAATTCACTCCATGCTGCCACTGTCCTCCCTGATCCCCAGAATGCCTCCTTCCCTTACGGTTAATCGTTATCAGAAGCAGGATAACATTTTCCATGATTCAGTAGGATTTGGTGTAGTTCAGCCCTCCACAATAAAGAAAGCACTTGCAGTGCTTATATGGGTGGTTTGTTGCCGGAAAATCAAGCTAATGATAGCATTACACGAACAAAGCTGCCATGCATAGTTTTAGAGGCGGCCTGCTAAGGGATGTGTTGCAGAAACCTAACAATGCCATTGCTTCGAACATGCCTATAGTCATACAGGATGGTGGCTGCATCATCATTCTGCGGAGATGAAGATGGGTGGAGCTAAACACATGGAGCATCTGATGGAGGAGAAGAAAAACTTATTAAGGGTGTTTGCCGGATCCAGGCTGCCACAGCAATTTACCCTGAAAGGCCAAAAAAGACATTCAATGTCATAAAATTGAGGAATTTGTGTTTTTGTTTTTTTTTAAGTATAAAAGCTGAAATCTGCCAAAAAAAGATTGGGATTAATGACTTGATGGTGCTGGATTTGCCTGATATAAATTCAATTTTAATCTGAACAAATTTGCAGCAGTAATCCCATAAATCAAAGGTGGTTCGACAACGTTTGGATTTAAGAGGATTAAAACAGAAATGCATGCCGCACTCTTCAGATTTCTATTTCCTGTATATTTTTTTTAAAGAAAATCCCCCGTCATGTTGGCTCAATTTTCACCACGACGCTGCTCTTTGTGCTCGTCTGAGTGTGAAAAAACGTCAAGGAGTTTTTGGAAATAACTGACTAGAAATCCCTGAAGCTTCTGTTCATTTCAACCATATTCAAACTTCTATGTTTCTGTCGTTTTTTTTCTCAGTGAGGAAGACGAGCACAGATGCACTGCAGCTTGTGGTGGAGCGATGTGCTGCTGGATCTACAGAGAGGCCATGTGAGGCGATGGTCGCCGTCCTACGGTAACCAACGGTCATCTGCACCGCCATCCTTTATGCTACATTCAGGGTTTGCATGGGTCATTAAAAACCATTAAATTATTATTTTTTAAATTAAGGCCTTAATGGGCATTAAATGTGATTAGCGTGGCATCTAAAATGCTTTATTTAAAAAGAACGTTTCTAAAAAAGAAGTTTTCTAAAAACAATTTCATCAGAGATGTA